CCATTGATCGTAGATACAAAAATCTGATTTTTTCGAAAGCTTCGTAAAGGAGGAGATAAATATAATTTGCGTTTAAATGTACGAATTTAAGAGTTGTAACTTTCTCTAATAAATCAATGTGATAAAATATATTCTAAATTCTAATAAATAATCAAGCTACAAAAGGTGGTACACTTTCCATACAACATTACAAAAAGATAATCTCTGTACAGGTATAAAATTTCTCGATATTTGCTTTCTAAAAATCTTTAAGCTCCCTTAATTTTTCAAACTATCCCTCAACTTTCTCCTTTTAAATAATTCCATGCCCTAAAATTCTCATAAACTTTAAGTACAAACTTTAAGTACCAATGTTTAAAATTACTCAAATACTAAAAGTAACATAATTCCCCAGGTAACAAGGTGCTTGAACACATGGTATTCACAGATATTCAAAATTTAGTACTTTAATCCCTTTCTCGAACTTTCTCCAAAACAGAATAAATTAACCAAAACTTAAGAACCTCGGAATTAAGTTTCCAAGCTCTATTCCCCTAAAAAGAACAAAAAGAAAAAGAAACAGAACCTATTCAAAGGCACATACTACTATATATACATCATCTATCATCTAACTAATTGTTCTATTCCAGATATTGTCTCTGGTACCCGAGCACCAAAATGTCTTCATAAACGAGAGAAAACGATCCCTCGAAAAGGGACTGGTTCAAAGACTTTCGATAACGGGTCTCATAACAGTTGCATTATTATTATACGAAGCTCGAATTTCCTTCCCCTTGGGGCCCGGGGGAAGGGGGAGAGCCGGCGAACTGTCCTTCGATGCAGAGCAGCCCGTCCCGACCGGGCCCAACTGCGGACTGGACCCAATTATATCCACCGTCTCCCTCCCTCCCTCTTTCACAAAGATCGACCATTCGGCGAGGAATGCGGATGAGAAAGTGGCGTGTGTGTACGGTCACGCGTTAGCAAGGATCGATGTCCACTAGTGTAACGCGTGCAAACCGCGTTTGGAGGGGGGAAGAGGGGGGTGAAAGCGAACGCAAAAAGAAAAGGAAATGTAGGAAGGAAAGAGGAAAAATGAATGATGCACGCGGATAGGTGTCTAAAAACCGCATCGTGCGGTTGAGAGAGTTGTCAGTCCTCGGATTTCGTTCGAGAAGGGGGGAGAGAGAGAGAGAGAGATAGAATCCATCTGTCCCTTTTTATCGGCCTAAACTATTATGATAGAAATTCGTTCGTTGCTTATTAATTATTTTATAATTGGATCAAGATATGATAATTGTTATATCGATTATATATAAACTTTTGGTGAAATGAAAAATTATGGATGAACGTCTGTTTAATTGAATTTGGAATCAATTTTTTCTTAAATTTAACTGCGAATCTTTTAAAAAAATTATATATATATATATATGCCCTAAAATAAAATTCTCGTGATTATTTTAATCTTTTTGAGTAAATCTCAAGGGATTCTATTTTATATCTTACAAGAGAGATGAGAAATGCATCATTATCTTTTTATTTTAATTAATCTACTTGGATTAAAATACTAGGATACTAAGATACTAAAGATATCGTGTTGATTATTACAAACTCAAATCTATCCCGAATTGGAAATCAAATCCGATTGGAAAACGAGAAAAAAAAGCGTAGCAAAAGAAATGAGTTATACGCTTGTCGTTCAGATAAGATACATAATCGCAATGTGGTATTATTTTTTTAACCAGATACTCGACACTTCGAAATTTTCGTACGTTAAACGTATGTTGAGTCTCTCATGAAATACTCGTTAGAAGTATTGAATTCTCTTTGAGAAACATATACTTATACAGTATGCATTTTTTTTTTAGGTCCGGTTTTGGGTGGGAATATTTTTTTTCGGGGTAATCCGAGGTGTCTCTAACGTGTCGAACTGCACGAAGAATTTTTCGGATGGCCCGAATATGTTTGAAACATTGTAGCAAGATTTCTTTCGACTTTTGAAACATTTCATCCATATAACTTTTTACTTACCCTTTTTTACTTTTTACAATAAGAAAAGATATGTAATTATATAGGTAATTATAATTTATTAGCGTATATTCTATTACTTTATTACGTTATTTATTATTATTACTTTATTTTATCTGCTTATCAAATATATAATCACTTGGATAGATAATTAACGTAAAAATGTATTTTTTATAAAATATAATGATTCAAAGTTGATATGTTTAAGGTAACAAGAAGTGGAATGTATAGAAAACAATAATTAAAATATAAATATAAATGTCTGTTACAACAAGGAAAAAAGGAATTACTAATTTTGTACACAAACTGGTATCTGATAAAATACCCGTAAAATAGCGAGGAAGTGAAGAAGAAGCTAAAGAAGAAGGAAAATAAAAGCTTGTGTATCAACTTCTCTTCGCTTTAAATGGAGAGAAGAGAAATATTTTCTGCTTCTCTGTAAATTGTTATTTCAATTGGAAAAAAAAAAAATAAAATAAAATAAAATTTCAATCAGTCGAAAGAAATTTAAATTGACGAAGAGGGGGAGCACGAATAAATAATAACAATGGAACAACGAAAGCAATGATTCTTGTTGCCCTGTCAAACATCTACGACTTTAAGAATACTTTGTTGCAACCGATATCAAAACTGTGATGGCACTTTGGACGAGGATTGCGCAACAAGGTTGCCACGTGCGGTGTGTCTTTGAACGTTTGCAATAATAGAAGCGTTTGGCATACGATCAAATCGTGCAATTTCTTTCATCTCTATTGAAAATGGAAAGAAAAAAAAGGAAGGATAATAAAACGAAATAATCAATTGGAATGGTCATTATCACCATGGCTTTCGAATTTACAAAATTGAATCGAAAATACAGTGAAAATTGGCGATCGAAAGTTGCTTAACTAGTAAAAGAAAATTTTTTTCAACCAATCCATTTTGATTGGAACTATGTAACTACGAAACGAAACATGGAAACTTGCAATAATTGAAACAAATTTTCTCTAATAAAAAATTTCATTTCACATCCGAAAATAATTTCTAAATCATCGAGAATTATTGATAATCCTCTTTAAGTTTAAGAAACATCTTAAAGCCATAAAAGTTTACGAGCCCACACGTGAACGTTTTACTTTCTGGATCCCGATACCCTGAAAGAGGGTTAAACGTGACGTTACACACTCTTATGGCGTGACTCACGAGATACTACAATGTCTATGAAAATGCGACGCAATCTTTGGAACGAAGCAATGTCCAACAAGATACTCGTATAGTTAGCAAAAAATATATATATAAATAAAGACACGATTAATAAATTTTTATAACGAGAAATATTAATTTATAGAAAGATGAATCTTAGGAATTGACATTAAAATTCCTGTATAATATATTTATGTTTATATAAAAAAAAAAAGTAAGTTACGTATTTTTAAAATTTATATGATGTATGTAAAATAAATTTCTTTTAATCTGTTTTAGCTTTAAAATTGAAATATATTATATTTATATATTATATTAATATGATACTTTTAAAAATAAAATGTAATAATATTTTTTATATGAATTAAAAAATTTCTAATATAAATAATTGAAAAAAAAAAGAAAATGAATTTAAAAGATTTAATAGTGAAATGTGAATGTAATAATATTAAAAAAAGAAAAAACTGTTATATCTCATTGTGACCAATTTTATAATCGTATGAATAATGAATTTCACCAACTATATCGATCTAGTAACTAATTGAGTGTGTCCCATTCCAGACGTCATTCGCTAGATTTATTCACTAGAATCGTTGCGCGTTACCAAAATAAGGAAGAGCTGTATCCTGGTTGCAAACAAGCTTTTCAATGAAATTGTTTTCGCGCATTCGAATTATAGTCAAGTTATATGTACGATTCATTGGACAATTTTGAGGGACTTGTTCGCGGATAATTTTGGAGATCGTTTGTTAATAGGGCTCGTGATGATAAGAATAGCACAGACGAATGATTGTTTTGCTACTGTTCCTGCACAAGAATAGACTAGAAATAGAGAAGTTCTTGAGAAGTGTTATTTCTTCCGTGATCATGCGTTTGAGACAGTAAGAATATATTAATTCAATGTAAAAAAGATTCGAAAAGAAAAATGAAAATTTATGAGAAAAATTTCTTGGCCAATAAAATATTGAAATTGATATTTATAATTGATTGATCTGTATCTAATATTAAGTTAATTTGAAAAATATTCAAAGTGATTGATGTAATTTGTTATTCAATTTGTTTAATGGACTCAGTTCACACCATTAGAGCATTCAATGTACTTGATATATTCTAATGAATATGTTTATCATACTTAAATCATACTTTCGTTTACCATGCACTCAATGAACTTAATGCTCTCAACATACGCTCTCAACATATGCTCAACATACCGAATTATTTATTTAACAAAATCATACAAAGGGGCAAAATCGGCTGTCAACACAAACCCTTCAGAAACTTCATTTCCAAAGCTATATAACCAAACAAGTCAATCTACTAGCTACTCTGTTCCATTCAGTGAATGGTACTCACCCAACAAACCATTACACACTTCATTGACACAAAGTATTACTAACTGAATCACTAATGCTATAACTCAAAAAAAGGATGAATCTATATCTATATTTAAATAAATAAATAAATAAATAAATAAATAAATAAAAATAAAATAAAAAATAAAATAAAATAAAAATAAAATAATAAATAAAAAAAAATTAAAATTTACAACAAAAAATATTATTCTAAAAAAAAAAAAACTTGATACTCCCTTTAAATCGATTAATTTTCAAATTCTATTCATCGAATATTAATTAAAAGATACAAAAATGTATCAAGATTAGCATTTAAATTCTTCGATCGTGAAACTTCCAATGAAACAACGAAACTCTAGATTTATTCTTTTATGTATACACATCCATCCTTTATCGAGTTAATATCACCAATTAAACAACACCCCTTTATACACTTTCGAAGAAAATATCTCGTCGTACCTCTGTCCTCGTCGTAATCAGGAACTGGCTCGTTGAAGTCCCTCATGTCGAAGTCGTCGATGTCCTTAGATAATCTGTAACAGGTCGATCCGTAGTTCCTTTCTTCAATGATAATCGGCTCCTCAACGATCGTTTCCACGTCACTTCCATCCTCGAAGTAACCGCTCTCGTGCTCTGGGTTCTTCGTGGTACCTGCTGACGACTCACCACTCTTCGACATGATTCTTCTCTTTCACAATCACGAGGTTCCCTTAAGGGAGGATATCACTGCATAACGCGGTCACAGCTATGTGAATGAACAAGACACGAGAACGATCAGGTCAACCGGACGATCATCCGCATGATCCGCTTCAACGAGGATCTCCCTCTTCTCACCCTTTCTTTTTTTTTTTTTTTTCTTTTTTCACCAATCAGTTCCCACCGCCAACTGTCGTTGCTCGTGGAATGCGACTTTCTTGCAGCTTGGATCGAGTCGATTCTTCGAAACACCGCTTCGTGACAGCTGAATATTCGTCGATGCTTTTTCCCGCGCTTTTTTTTAAAAACACGGAACTCGGCTGTTTCACGACCGTGCAACGAGCGAACGTTCGCTCCGCCTCGAGCGAGCTGAATAACGTGTGTTTTCGAAGCGCTTGGTTATCGATGATTTTTATGATTCTACGATCGTATACCTGCGATTTAAAGAACAACCGATTAAAGCTAATGTCCAATTCGTGTTTGAAGATTATCCGATTTGGGAAACCGAAAATGGATTGTTTCGTTAATTATTGTGAAAATTATACGTTGTAACGTAAGAATTTTCGTAATTTTTTTCCCTTTTCTTGCATAATAATTTCTAATAAATTTTTAAAATCTGATGGAAACGAAGAAACGGTGTTTTTTTTTTTTTTTTTNTTTTTTTTTTTTTTTTTTTTCTTTTTTCGTTTCTACACCTCATAGAGGAAGTTCACGCGAGAACAATTGAATTCCAATGAAATAATCCATCTTCGGATCAATTGTATTAGTTCGCGAGTTATGTAGCGATTATCGGGATAGGCGCGTAGTTAGATTGCACCAGGTCGGCGAACAATAAACTTTATCGGAGATAAAATTATTTTGAATTTTTTCTGTTATATACCGCGTGCCACCACGATTTCAGATATTTTTTTTTTCTTTTTTAAATCCACCGCGAATACTTTCTCCAAACGTCGAGCAAATTTATTGGGTCGTAACGTTTGAAATGTCCGGTTGTAAATAGTTAACTCTAAATCGTATTGCTGTTTAAAGGAATATATATGATGTTTACGAGGAAATGGGTATGAAGATAAAAGATAGAACCTTCGAATCTTCTATATAATAACGCTTCGTTCATTGACGGAAATTTTTTACCTCGCTAACTACGCGTTGTTTGTTAATCGCACAAGTTTCCGGAACTATTTGCGTAAAATAATATTCAATCTGTTTGTTTCAACTTTAGAATCTTGTATGAAATATTGAATTAAATTATAAGTGAATTTATTTGGAACGAAAAATAACGATAAAGTGATAAAGTGAATGAGTGATATATGAAAATATTTAGGAAATTCTCGGATAATTATCCTGCATGCTTGGATACCCATCCAAATGAACTGAAGCAACACGAACGAATGAGACAGTCAATAATCTCGAAGCAAAAGCCGACCGTCTTTCGGTTATTTTCGACTAGCATCGGTAAATTAACCGAAAATGACCGAAAGACGATCGGCTATTAAGCCGAGTTTCTTGACTACCTGGTTCAAATTTTTCATTTGTCATAAAGCATCAATGCTCAAAGTAATTTTTATTTACGCAGTTACCTTTCCAGCTATTTAAATAATTATATACATACTTATACATACATTTCATAGTTCATAGCTTTATTTACTATTCTTAAGTTCTTAGAACTACTTTTATTGGAAAACATCCAATATACAATTTGTTTCAAAAACCTTGTAATGAATATACATATACAATTTCAATAAAAAAGACATGTGTTTTCAAGATTTTTTAGAAATATATTCTTGGATATTTGATTATTAATTTTATTTGAAAAAAAAAATCCATTTCGATGAATACTCGAACAAATATTTTTAGTTAGTTTCAAAGTATCGAAAGTATTAAATTGAAGACAATTTGAATTATTCTTCACGATTTTAAGACTTTGTTATAATCATATCATTGTGTGAAGATAAGAATAATTAATATAAATTTAAATAATACAAAGCGCAAAATTTTAATGTACTTATTATATAATATGATATATTATATTGCTGGGAATTATATTATTGGAAATGAAAATGATTTTTATTTTTTTTTTTTTTTTTTTTTATAATTCTAGGTACACATTTATATTATTTTTTTCATTTGCATACAAAGATGAATTTATTTTAATTTAATTACTACTTCGTATTGAAGGATGAGATCTTCTTACTTAACTATGAAAACAAAGTAATTAACATCAATATAAATGAACTAAGACATTAGTACGTTAATATAGACATGAAAATATACATATTAACCTGTTTTTATAATTATAAAATGATAAGCTTAATCTCAATTATTTTTTCTTTAAAATTTTTTAAAAAAACAAATTATTTACTGCTTATAAAAAGAAAATTTATTATTTTAATAATTTAATTTTATAAATTTCTTATTTTTTTAATTTTATTTTTAAATTTAGAATGTCAACAATTTATCTAATATTTTCCTTACCTAATTTTTCTTTATTTAATACCTATTAATAACATATTCTCTATCAAGTGACCCATCGATAACCCATGATGAACTTTCTAATTTCTCATATTTTCCTTATTAAATTTAATTTAAAAACATTTCATAAAATTACCTATTAGTACTTAAAATATCAATTAGTTCTATTCTTTGTATTAAAGATATAATTATAATATAATTTTATTTTACGATCCTATTACAAAATAGAAATATCATTATTTAAATCTAAAAACATGCTTGTAACATATTCAAAGTAATATTATTAAGTTCAGCCAATATCTACTTAATTTAATCTAATTAATATACCGTTTAAAAAATTAGTAAAAAAAAAAAAAAAATTATTGTTTAAATCTAAAGACATGCTGCAATATATATTTAAAATAATTATTATTAATTCCGCAATGTCTACATAATTTACAATATACGTCATAAGAAATTAATAAAAAAAAAAAAAAAGCAAAAAAATAGAAAAATAAAATGATTCAGAATATTTCATACACTCCAAGTGGGATTAAATCGAAGAACAGTTCGATTGGTCCCCTCGAGGATTCTTATGGTTTTTGTTTTCCGGGAGCAAAGTTCGCTCGACATCAAGACTCGTAAAACCCCCATCATGTTTCTTCACGTATCGTCTGTTCAACGTCAGATAAGACGTCGATAACCGTTTTCTTCGAGATTCTCTAATACAGCGTAGAAACGAGCAAATACTTTGGCGATAAACGATCGAACAATCGACATCCGCGTGCACGAATGTAATATGACTCCTATTACCCTAATCATAAGATTAATCGATGGAAATGTTGATCGATTGACACGTTTTGCGCTACATCGAGAATTGAAAGATTGAAAGTGAAATTAAAATGAAATTTCGAAAAATGAAAAAAAAAAAAAAAAGTATCTTGAGAATATAATATAATTTTCTTTTTCTACCTTTCTTTTCGATAGAATTCGAAAATACGGTAGTAGAATCAAAGATAAGAGAAATGATTTTTAAATGTTTAAATGTTTGAACGTGATTTAATAATCTCTCTTTACTCTTTTCCTCTTATGTAAAAGTCGAGTCAAGAATAATGCGTAAATCATAAAATTCATTTTATGCTATTTGAGAATTGAAAGTTTCAGAGTGAAATTGAAACGAGATTTTGAAATCAAAAGTAAGAAAAAATATCTTAGAATATTTAATTATTGCAAAATAGTATTGATAATTTATTATTTTTTTCTTTATAAGATATTTTTATAAATTAAAATAAATGTATTTACTCACTACACAGTGTCATAATATATTATATAATTAATATATTGCAATTAATATAAATATATTCGCTTTTTACTATTAGATTATTATTATTATTATTGTTAAAATCTACTTTAATTTATGCTTTTCTTTTCTTTTACATTTCTAAAATAATAAATATGATTGTCTGGTTATGAAAATTTTAAATTAAAGTTTAACACTGAAAGGTCAACCTTCGACTTTTAAAAGAGGTGCATTAGCAAACTATTGAATGAAGATTATGTTTATGACCATAAAAATAGTTTTAAGTGTCTTTACCTCGAAAGGTAACTTTCGAAAGGTAACAATGATTTCTGGCTACTGTAATAAAATTTCTAAATCCTCTAAAATGACTAATAAATTTCTAAAATTTTTTCTTTTATGCTAACTTTCGATAGATAATCCCTATAAGATAAAATATATCAATACTTGAAAACTGTATTCAAAAAATGCAGAATTCTTTTTTTTTACTTGCTAAACATAGTATATAATTTGAATTTAATTACTCTAGGTATTTCTATTTATCTTCGTTAATACTAAACAATTTTAAGGAAATTATCACGATACGATATTTTTAAACAATATATATAATCATAATTAAAAATATATTATTGAGAAACATTTGCAAATTTTTGAAATTTTTATTATAACGTTCATTATAACAAATAACATATATTTAGTATAATTATAATGATAGTATTATAAATGATAATAAACATTCTTTTTATAATATTAATAATAATGATAACAATAACAATAATAATGATAAAAGAAAAGGAAATATGATAAGTATATTAAAATAATATTTTAATTTGTTATTTTAATGATAGATAATAATCATATCGCTTCACAGTATTATCATTATGCAATATAATAACTTTCATGTTCTTCCAGTCATAGATTTGATAAAATAAACAGAACAACAGATTGTATTATAAAACAACATCTCTTTCATATTAATGATTTCATATAATTAACTTAAATTACCGTTTTAGCAGTTATTATATTGCTATGATCAATATATAACTTTTTTCTAAATACATTTAACAATATAAAATCATGTTTATTATCGAGAAAATAATGATTTAATAATTTTACTCATTGAATTACTAATGAATTACTAAATTACTAATGGATTCAAGAAAGTTCTTCGGCTTAAAAAACATAATGCTAGAATTAAATTACTAAATGTGAAAATTTCAATTTTAGAACTTTCTTTCAAAAATATTTTATTTTATTTTTAATGCAAATTTTATAATTTATTTAATTAATATTAAAAAATATTGCCATATCGATAAATTCATCACTCGAGGAACAGTAATTTTCAACTATTAAACCGTCATGAAATAATAATTAAAACTCATTCTATGCTGGAATGATATTTCACTTATCATCGATAAGTGATATCTTACATAATTTCGTGAAAATTTCCTCAAACGTATGTTATTCTTGCTTTATTTTGATATGCTAATTACACAAAATTTAATTTTTCTAATTTTTTTTTTTCTTAAATCAAATAAGTCTTCATATTTTTTATAAAAATTATGAAGTAAAATAAATAATCCTTCAATTTCCTTAATTTCAACGATTTAAATTGAAATTTCAGCATGGATAATAGAATATATTATATTTAATATATATATCTAAATACAAATCTTTTAATATATCGTTATATATAAATCATACTATGTAATTTTGAGTGGATATAATAGAAAATTATGTATATTATACAAATGTATGATTTTTATGATTTATAGTAAATAATAAAAACATAAAGAATAATGAAAAGAATTATAAGTAAAACAATAAGAGAAAATTATAAATGAAAATACTGTTTATATATGAATATTTATCAATAAATCTTAAAAACTATTTGATAGCTTGAACGTATTAAAAATAGTAGTCAATAATATAAACTATCTACAGCGCGTGCTAATTACACTCAAAGTTTATACCTAATCCGAATCAGTGACCCCGATATACGTATCACATGTTCCTCGTTCAAACCAGACACCCTGTACCAACGTATTAATATAACTGCCATTGCTCAGTTAAATAGTGTATCGCGCGGGTATTAGGTTAACCGTAACCGTATTATCCGTGTAGCCGGATACCACGGTTGAACAATCGGTAACTAACCTGCTTACATACTCGGATATTCGACTGTATCTGCTGAAAACCGGTGTACACTGATTTAATTTCACTTCATACAAACTCTTTTTTTTGTCTTACTATCGTCGTCATCATCATCGTCATCACCATCATCCTCCTCTCTTTCCCGATGACGCAATAAAACAACGAGATTTACGAATGGATGATAAGAAAAAGAAAAGAGAAGATATAGAACACAAAATCGCGACTAGAACAACTAAAAACAGTATTTTTTCTTTAGCGAAATGTAAAAATATTTTATCTAATAAAGCTTCAACCGACCATGGCGCAATCCCTTTCTCTAGTTATGCAGTCGTGTTCCAATTCCTAAGAGTCGAGTCAGGCAAAAGTGTCGGGCCGAACGAAACGGATCGGCCGTCGTTATCCTACTGACACACTTTAAGTCGCGTACCTTGTACGGAGTGCAAGCCTCGGCCTTGGCCACCTTCGTGAATATCTGTGCGATCTGCTTCTCCCTCAGTGGGTGTTATGTTGATTTAGGAAGAGGAGCCGTAAAAAACAGGATGGATTAACCGTGACTGCTGCCACGTGTTCCGATGATCTAATGTTTTCGATACACCGTGCCGTCAAGCACCGCCTCACCGTTAAACAGGACACAACTTTGCGTTGGTATTTATTTTTAAATACTTGCAGCGCTTCCACTGTACGCTACAGTGTTCCCCTTCATCGATACATGGAAGTTTCCACTAGTGTACCGTACGTAATATCAAGAGCATATGGTTTCACGGAGCGATTGGTATTCAACTAATGATTTGATTATAGCATGCAAAAAAGAATATTATATTTAGCAGATTTTTACGCGATCAGTATCACACAAAACTCGATATTTCTTGATGTTTTTCACTACGCACTCAACACGAGCAAATAATAAATAGTGGAAATAACGTGGAATACGAATGTTTTTTAAAAAGTTGTTTTACACAATAGCTCTCGTTCCACTTTCACTTGACTGATACATCACAGATGATCACGAATGTACTATGAAACAATATTTATGCACGCAATGAAATAAGAAAGACGATATGCGAACACGAGACTACTTACATAGTTTACGCGTACACAAAATACTATGGGACGTGGTGCGCTGTCTACAAAACACGATGCGCACCGGCCCAAGACTCGAAGCCGACTGACGGGTCCCCACTATGCGACTCACGAGTCACCCTTCACCGGCGACTAACAGCTGATTTGGAAAACACCGAGATCCGCCCAGTGACGGATTAAGTAGATAGAGTGCCTAGCTCGTTGCGTAATATTATAGTTAATCTTATTTTTCAATTCCACAAAAATTATTGTTATTAAGTTTATTAAGTTTCAATGATATAGATGACTATGAAAAAAATGAAAACTGAAAACATTTGATAAATATATTATTAAAAATATTATACTTATGATTATTTTATATTTTTATAATTTGTTTCTTTATGAAATATTTTAATAAAGTTTATTACAGATTTAGAATTTAATTTATTATAAATTTCTCATAATAAATATAACTCATTAAATCGTTTATTGTAATATTTTAATCGATCAATATTTTATCTATAATCATATCAAAGTTTGCATATGAAACAAAAAAAAAATTTTGATTATATTTCAACAAAACTCCATATATTGAAAAAAAATTATAAATCATGAATTGTAAAATATATTATTATAATATATCATATCTGTACCAAGCATATTTATCTTCATTACGCAGTATTTAAACAACTAGATAATGTTGATTTTCATGTAGTAAGGTTAAGGAAGAAACATGGAGGAAATACATTGAAAAGAGCTCGAAATATCATGATAGGGGCATGCGCTTTCAAAGAATACATTTATGATTCATGATATATATTCATATATATATTATATTGTTAGAAAATATAATGTTGAAGTCCAACTATCTAATATTTATAATAACAATAATTATAAATAAATATGTATATAACATATAGTTCGTTATTATACAAAGATATAAATATAATTGACATAAATTACTCTATAGTTTAAATACTCAAACTACATTGTAAGATAAATATCGATTGTCGATAAATAAAATATCTATTCCATCGATAAAACTATATCGTGTAACGTACATAACAAAATCTAAATGAGTTTAATTTTCTATATCAAGCTAACATAAACATGTTTAATGCTTTTATATTGTAAACTATAAGATACGGAAAATCTAGATATAATTGAATATATTTTCATAAATAAATTATTTAAATTCAAACTTTCATAACCACGATTTTAATTTTGTAATTAAAACTATTAGAATAAAATATCTAATGAAAATATAAATATAATAACTTTGTATTATTGTTATTTTGATAACTATGATATTACATGCTTCTAATTTATCCATTTTTTTATTTAAAAAATATCAAACAAATCATTATAAAATTAAAATATCATTTCATAACTAAAGAAATATTTATTTTATGCAATAAAAAATATTTTATTGTATGTAATATTTTATATAATATTTTTTTATATTGTAATATATTTTTAAATATTTTCTTTTAAATTTATATTTTTTTTAATAAAACATGAAAACAAATTGTCTTAAAAATAATAAATATAATAAAATTTTATTTTATTCAAGTAAATAATTTTCCTAAAACTTTTATATATATAAAACAATCATATTATGTAATATTTATTTCATGCATAATAAGTAATTAGAAAGTATTTTTAATAAATCAATAAAATAAAATGCAGTTATATACTAATCAAAATTGTTAATTAATTATTAATTAGTTATATAATAGGTATATATATAATATATATTGTAGAAAACTAATTAAGAAAGGTCAACAAGTTTATTTTAAAATCTATCATATATGTCAACAAAGGCCAATAAACATTTCACTACCACGATTACATTGTTCTGTTTCATCAACCAACAAAGAATATCCAATATTGCTCGCTTAAAAGGCTACCATCTTCTGGTTGGTAAGCCACTAAATTTAGAAGTTCACATATGCATGTCATTTTTGTTCTTTGGGAACCTTGCATTCAAATTCTTCCTTTATTCTCAGAAAAGAGAGAATGAAGGCCAATGTGTTAATATCAGAAATTTCAGAAGCGACGCTCTATTTTTAGAGTTTTCAAATGCTATTAATCCTATATACTATACTGACTTTATTTAAGGAAACAAAAATAAATTATGATATAGAATATGTATAATTTAAAATTTAAATTAACTATGAAATATGGAAATAATTTGAAAATAACCATTTATTTATATTTATTTATAAATCAAATTATATAATATTCAAATACTTAATATCAAATACTTTTATAACTTAATTTTTTAAAACAAATTATTGTTTTATCTGAATATTTTTATTTTTTTTTTTATTAATTATATTTTGATAACTTTGTTGAGATTAATTATATTAATATATAGATAAAATAATATATAGAATATAACAATATTAAAAATTTATGTCATATTAAAGATATTTTGACATTTAATAATATATTATAATATGACAAGCAATTTTAAGTTTTAAGCTTTATACTACAAGTTTAATTTAATGTTTTCTATAGATTTATTGAATGACATTTAATACAAATGGAAATTTAAAAAAAGTCTTTTTTAAATACAACATATATTTCTAAAAAAAAATGAAAATTATCATTCTTAATGTTACAAAAACATTAATACACGTTCTCCGAAATATATTTGCGTCATATATGCAATCAAAATTTGCTTGATGACAGCGAGTACGTCGTAAAAATGTTATCAACAATTTGAAACGATAATCAATTGTACGTTATCAGACTAAAAGATAAATGAAATTATCATTCTACAGAACCGTGAAGAAACATGAAAGAAATAAGAATGTAACGTACCAAATGTCAAGACGTGGGTGACTGTATGTTCCGTGCTGGTATTCTCAAGGATTTCCGAGGGTGGGGGTGGCGGTGGAAGTGGCGGCTGCATGGTGTTCTCCATGTCCCTGTTGCTCATTAAATTTTGATGTCAGTCACAATGCAACACTCGTTCTTACTCAGCGAAAACACATCTCGCGAAATGTGCGGGTCGATGATCCTCTTGTTCGTCGCAAAACGTATGTCTATCTATAGTATGTATTCACGATCGTCAAGATGGAATCGCGTATTTCTCGTATATGTAAGAATACCGATTGTTTGGATGATCACGAAAAATACATGAATGACCCGAGAAATAATGTTGACACTGGATTTTTACATGATTGCCACCGATTTTCTCGCGTCCGCGTTGACGGACAACGAAGACACGCACGTTTCGATACTGCGCATCCACAACGCGCAAGTATAATACCGACTGCTTTCGGTTGGTGCGTCAGTATTGTCAACAAATTACCGACTGTAACGATAAAAATGATCTTGTGTTTTCACTAAAATACTTTTGAAAAAAATCATAATTTTTTTTTTATTATTAAATATATTTATATAAAATTAAAAAAAGCAAAAACAGGAATGCTTACCTTATATATAATCAAACATAGAGGAAAAAAATAGATTATTATATTGATTATAATAAATAAAAATTATTAAAAGTAAACAGTGACTTTATTTGTAATAACAAGTCTTTAACAATAGTAAGATGTTAATAAAAGTCATTGTCTAAAGCCAGCGTCGATGAATTAATTTTTTTTAATAGCCTGAGTCTTTTTTACGCTGAATAATTAAATCGTTTTCATGTATTGCTTAAAGATTTACTATATGTTTCGATAGATAATATTCTCTTTTTCTAAGATAGAAGGTACAAAAGACAATTTCAAATACTTGCTAATTATATGATAAAAATTATAATTAGTGCTTTTCACATTTAAAAAATTAGAAACTTATTAAGCATATCATGTATATGTTAAAATACAAGTACTTAAATATTTCGTTGTACTGTAAATGATTGATGAAAAATTCATGAATATGTAAATCTATGTTTTAGTATATAATAATAATGGGATACATCATCTGTTTAACGCGATAACTTAGATATTGTAGGTCAGATATATCCTACTCTTGTTGTAACACATATCGTTACTTACATTGTCTTGAATCGTCAAAACAATTGAATATAATACTCAATCTTCATTTTCGAAATAAATATTAAATTTTTATCAAGAATGCTTACTGAATTTTTTCCATTTTGGACGAAATACTGGTACCACGTGTTAATTACTATTGTAGCTTATATTTTTTTAAAATTATTTTATAAAATATTGAAAAAGGATGCTATTTTTATTGAAAAAAATAAACATAATTTTGATATTTCAAATATAAAGCAACTAAAAGGTAATAATATTAATTATTATCTATCAAAATATAAATTTTTAAAATAATAATTGTTAGAAATATTATCTATATATAATCTATTGAAGTTACAAAATTAATGTAATTTTATATAAAATTTTTATTCTATATAATTTTATACTAATTAAACATATATTTTTTCAATAAAATTAAGAATTATAAATTCTAGAAACTAATCAAGAAACAGAAGATAGTGAGGAATCTGCATTACCAAAAAATTTAAAACATATTCCTTATGAATATAAAAGACCTTCTGAAATGGAGTTATTCTGTCAAGCTTCTGAGTTTTATAAAATAGTAACTGCTAGAAGAACTATAAGATTTTTCAGTTCTGACCCTGTACCAAAAGAAGTCATATATGAGATAATAAAAGCTGCAGGTACAATATCATGTTATTACGTTCACAAAATTTTTTATACATCTGAGTCTGTTTTAGGCACTGCGCCTAGTGGTGCACATACAGAACCATGGACATTCGTAGCGGTGTCAAATCAGAAGATAAAAGAACAAATACGTTATATTGTTGAAAGCGAAGAAGAAATAAATTATAAAAAAAGAATGGGAGTAAAATGGACAACTGATTTACTTCCATTAAGAACAAATTGGATTAAAGAATACCTGACTACCGCTCCTTATTTGTTGCTTGTATTTAAACAAATTTATGGAATTTTACCAAATGGAAAAAAGAAAATTCATTATTATAACGAAATGAGCACATGTATTGCTTGTGGTATTCTCATCACCGCTATACAGGTAATATTGTTATAATACTATGATTTCTTATAATGTATATGTATGAATAATATGGATGAATAATATATGAATTTTAAAACTAGTATGCAGGTTTGGTAACTCTGACTTCTACTCCTTTAAATTGTGGACCTGCCATCCGCAACCTTCTTGGACGTCCTTCTAATGAAAAGCTTGTTGTACTACTGCCAGTTGGTTATCCAGCAAAGGATGCTACAGTGCCTGATCTTCAGCGAAAATCTCTATCTGATATTTTAGTAGAAATTGATTGACATATATTATAACAAATTATGGGAATTAAAGTACCTTTGTTTAATATTTTGTCAGATACTTGCTTGTAGGACAATACAAAAATGAGTACACATAATTATAGATTTATATAAATCCTGTTTTTGTAAAAAAACTTATATTTGTTTTGAGTATTGTTTGTTACTTATGTATACCTTACATTACATTTTCGCAAATATATATATATATATGTATGTATGTGTATATATATATATTATTTATTATAATTATAGAATATAATTTTCCTTGGTCAAAGACATGACTTTCAATCTTATAAAGTTATCCTAAAATGTTCAAAAGGGAACTAATCCCTGAAATATAGCACCCAAAGAAGTTCTATCATTATATATTATATTCCTGCACTCAGAAAATATTCATGGCACACAATAAGACTGTCTAAAATTAGTGATTCAGTTGTATACTAATATTTATTTAAATTTGCATACAGTGTGTTAAAAATAAGCAATATAAAATGTAAATTCACCAGTAATTGGTTTAAACTCAAAAATCTTTATAGATTAATTTTTATGACATCTAATACACAATTCCATGTCGTTAAGCGACCTTAAAATTACTAAATAAAAAAAAATTACATCAATGAGTACCAAATATCACCATGGTATCTTAAATTAAGTACATTCAATATATAAAATATAAAAATACTGAGCTAAAACAATAAAGGGCATATAGAATATAATTTTCTGCTGTACTGCAAGTTTGTATGTCATAATTATACTGCTACTAATGGCTGTGTCATTAAATGTAAAAGCTTTAGTATCATGATACATACAGATAAACAGATAGTCCTATTCATCACTATTTATGAAACAGATGTTATCAATATCATGTTTTTTCTAGAATATCAATTTTTTTTCTTATTTTTGCATCTTTCATAAATCTTGGATTGGACCAAGTTTGATAGCAAGGAGCTAAAGAGATTATTAAAATTTGAGATCTCCAAAATCGTTTGAAGTATGTGTAAGCAGTTTTGAAATCCTAAAAGCAACCGAACTTCGAATGTCAATGGCTAAAAATAAATTGGCCCGGAGAACTAGGAGAGTATTTGTCGATGTTCACAATTCTCAAACTAATTTCTATAGTAGTAATAGTTTTCATAAATATGTCTTTCTAAAATCAATCGAAAATATTCTTTTGTTTCAATTATAAAATATGATGTTATTCGACAATCTCATATTCGAGTCCTTGACCAAGATTATTCCATTAATCCCATTAATTTTAATAACAAGCTCAAAGTAACTGTTAGTCTGTTTTCATAAAAACATTAAGCCAACCCTTATATTTTCGTACATCTATTGATAAACGCTAGCTCATTAAAATTATAAATACATAATTACCATACTTTTAATTTTCTGAGATCACCAGTGCCTGAGATAATCTAACATAACATATATACTACGAATATTTTATCTTATTTAATAGAGCTTAAACCAAATAAAGAAAAAAAAGAATATTAATGCTGCCAACATTGTTAATAGATTTTCTTACAAAAATCAAAAAAAAGAAACAGAAGAAACTTTCAAATATTGAAAGTATATCTGCGTTTATCATAATACTATAAAAAGGTGTACTTATGAATACTCTCCTAATTCAAAAACGGCCACTGCACCACAGCAAATAGATAAAATTCATCACTTATCTACGAGATAAAAGATTCTCAATCACGGCGATGAAACTCTGCTATGCACAGACGGCAAGACCAGGAGCCCTCGGGAGGAGATGCAAGAGGTGGAGACAGACAATACATGTGGTATCCACGATCACAGTCGTCACAGAACAGCAGCTGATCCTAGTTTGGTTCGCGAAATAATTAATTAAGATTGCAACGATACCTAACTGAGTGAAATTATTCGCAATCGTTGCTTTAATTTACTATCTTTCCTTTACGATAACAATTATCCTATGATTTACTTGGTCAAATTATTTAGTTTATTTTTTATAATCATAAATAATAAGATTTTTTGTTTTCTTTTATAGAAAACATTAGCAATGCATTGTAATAGATTGTAAAAATTTAAATAGTTTAAAAAAATATTAAATTCTTAACAATTTCTGTATCATTTTTCTCAAACTATTTTGATTATGATTAATTAATCAATAAATTTTTAAAATAATGTAATATATAATATATAATATTTTGAAAATATATATATAATATATTGAAAATATTTTAATGGTAACAAAGAATTAATATAAAATTAATGAAACAAGATGCAAGAAATATTAACATTAACATACAAAAATAAAAGATATATCGAATTATTTTTCATAGTCAAAGAGAAGAAATCAAAATAGTTAGAGTAAGTAAATTATTCTTTATTTCGTCACGTAAAGGGAAAAATGGTAATGAATACTCACATCGTTGTCAGAAGTGCCACAAATGGAACAGCATTTGCATTCGATACACTGCCACCTGTACTTGCGAACAGAAACGATCATGTTCGCTGTGAATTGCAAACAAGTCGGATGCCCTATAACAAGAACGTAGCTAGGTCATGGAAAACGCATATGGGACGGAATAGGATGTTTTGGACGAGTAGAAAGGTGCTAGGACATTTATCTTGTGCCGAAGAACAGTGAACTCCAAGCTATTTCATTTCGAATATTTTTTTTCGTACCATTTTCAAATTCGAATAGAAGTACTTGTTAAAATTCCAAATCAAATTTAATATTTTCTTCTTTTTTTTCGATTGCTCAAGAAACGCGTGCAATTATATTTTATATGATTTATCATAAAGAATCATAACTTTCACCTTTCCTCAGCACTAAAAACGTCCGGAATAATGATACGTTCTGTTATATTTCCGCACAGAATGTTTTATTTCATGATATCTGCGATTGTATTTTTTTTTTTTTTGATGTCGCCTCTTGAACATATTGTTATTTTATTTGGAATAGTAAGGTGGTAAGTAATAGCGGTGCGTACCTTGGAATAGTTCACGTTCTTTCTTGCGCAGCACAATATAAACGTCACGAACCAGCACACTCTCTTCTCTCATCAATTTCTACACACTTTTTTCATATTATCACACTCTTTCATCCCTTTCATACTATTTTTCTTTTTTTTTCTCATTTATGCTCTTTTTCCTTTCGCGCACGTGCACATGCGAGTGTATGAGTATTTCTGTTCACATGTATATACTCACACTCGCACGCGCACAAACATATATACTCATATAACATATCACATTTGATATATATAATATATATATAATATATATATTTATATATAACTAGCGTTACTTAAATACTAGATTTGTAAGCCTCATGGGTATTGCTTAATTAAAATTGCCTAATAACAAGTCTTCGATCATTTTTTTTTTTTATATAACAAGGAGGAACTATTTCTGCATGCTTTCATACTCGTAATTATTTTTTTTAATCTTTCATCATTTTTCTTCTTTCTTTCTCTCTCTCTCTCTCTCCCTCTCTTATACCATGTGTGTGAATCTCTCTTAATACAATAAATAGAAGGGTTCATCAAGATACGATAGTGATTCATCTTCGGATTTATTTTTCTCGTCATATGAGCGCTACTAATTGTAAATTATAAAGTTAACCTAAAAGACCTCTCGCCATTATAATATATCTTATCTTTTCTCTCCATTTTTTCTTTTTATATATTTTTCTTTCTTCTATTTTTCCTATCTTTTCCCCGTTTTTTTCTAATTTTTTGGTAAAAATCGAGAAACTGCCATCAACAATGCTGCAGCAGAATAGAAAAAACTGCGTATAACATTCACAGATGATAATCCTAGGGAAAATTTCTATATGTATTTTTGCGCTGTGCATTTTCGATCGGTTAATCAGACGCATCGTGAAAATTAGCCATCTACCCGCTGCGCTTGTTTATACGTCAGACGTAAGGTAACAAGGGAAAGTATACACGTGCATACAACTCGCTTGCATCGATTATCATAAATCTATGATAATAATATAACTTTAGCGTTAGAAATCAGCTACTTATTATGAAAAATGAACACGCGGATTGCAGTACCATTCAGAAGTGGGGATTGAATTTGATGACTTAATACGCGAATGACGACAACGACGACCTCCGCTAGAACGAAAAATCGTGAAATATTATACAAGTAATAAAACGACGATTTTTTCTTATTTTTCCCTTTTTTTTTTCTTGTTAATTCTAGCAATTCGAACAATATTTTCTTGTATGAATATCAAAGCTTGTACAAAACTAAGCTATTATCAAATCTCTAAGATTACGTGATATATCTTTATTTCTTTTTTTTTTTTTTTTTTATCGTTAGAACACGACATATGATCAAAATCCTGCCTAAAGACTGGAAAAACTCGTTTAGAAAAAAAGAAAGAATATCATAACTTTTACACTCTTTTTCTTTCTATACATACTTGCATATGTTGTCACTTGTTTTCTTCTCCTTCTACGTATGCAATAAATATGCTCGTCATTTGATAACGATTACAAATGGTAAAAAGGCGATTACTATATTACGTATTACATTTGCAACATGAGACGGAAACGATTAATGCCCAGAACGAAACGGAAGATTTTAAGAGCAGCAGATTTATATATGGAATGTCTACACGAAAAAAAAAAAAAGAAAAAAATTTGAAAAAAAATTGATAAGTGAAAGAAAAACTTATTTTTTAAATCAAAATTATAGTTTTTCTAATCATTAAAAAATATATCTTATTTATATTATTACATTAAAACGTAATAACGTAATAACGTTTAATTGAATTAATTGATGCAATTTAAAAAAAAATTGCTACTTTTATAAAAAAAAATCAACTTTCTTTTTCACTTTTTAAGAAAAATACATAGTATCGGTAGCAAAGATAATATTAAAAAAATTATATAATAATGAATCATGATCGTAATATCATAAAAATCAATATTTTTTTTTTTTGCGATTTCTTTAATCGAATATTTTGAATAATAATAATTTTAGTTTACTAGCATTATATGTGCTGCGCTCTTATGTGTGGTATTCTATGATAATATATTCTATAAATAGAAACACTCGAAAAACGCAAAATAAAAAAGAATATTTACAGATTTGAAAAAGTGTAGAAGTATCGAAAAAATGTGGTCGATCCTCTTTTTTCATTTTACTATATATAAATATTGTTGCTTTCGTTAAACGATTCACTGTGCTGGATAATATCAATAATATAAAGTATATATATATATATAATATATATTGTATATCGTATCGTTTTCGTGTAAGCTCTCTTAAAATTTCGCGATCTTGTAGAACGAACAATTTTCGCGACAAGCCTCGTTTTTTATTGAGTCCTTTTTTTTTATTTTTATCGAAATAATATTTAAAAAAAAACACGCGATTACACTGTAGTCAAACAGAGAACACAAATACATCTTCTTCAATATGTGCTTTAGTGATACTGTGCAACAGGAATTTTTTATTTTTCTTCTCTTTTATTTCTTTTTTCTATTTTTTTTTTTTTTTAAATATTCAAACATTTAAAACATTTTTTGGAAATTTTCACATAACTTCGTAAATTGTACCTGACTATTTATCTCATCGACAACTTTTGTTTTTCTTCTTTTTTATTTTTTTATTTATTTTCCCTTCCTTTTTTTCTTAAATATCCAGAGTGAGATTCGTTTATCTTGAATTAATTTTTGTACATAATTAATCTTTTTTTATTTTTTCATTTGTTTTCTTTTTCTTTTTTGTCTCTTTCTTTCGTAAAAATTTTTTATCTCTTAAAAACTAATCATTGAATTACACAATAAATCACAGTTGATCCATGCAGTAAAGGAATTTCGCTGAAAATTCCTATTACTCAGATGCGACAAATTGCACCATTGACAAAGTGATGTTTTTGCTTTTCTTTGACTAGTGTACATAAAGCTCGTAATCATTTATATTCTTTCCTCCCTCTCTCTCCCCCTCTCTCTTTTTTATTTTTGTCCATCAAGAAACCGTGTAGATAATCGATATTTTTTAATTATTGCACACATGAAATACGATGATTCCGAACGCGTCACACAGCAATTAGTTTATCAACCTAATCTCAATCCGAAAAATAGTATTTTTCTTTCATTTTTGTTTTCTTTTTTTTTTTTTATTTTATTATTATTTTTTTTATCCTTTTTTTTTTTTCATTAGATTTTCACGGATAAATCGAATTCGGTCTATCTTTAACGGTATGAAAAATAGCATTCGATACGGCACAATAACCGCCGAATTGACGATGGACAATAACAACTATTCGTGTAGAAACGAACAGAAAAGAAAAAACGATCTTGACGATACGGATAAAAAAATATACTTCAACAGGTTGAATAGTTCAACGATAAACAATAATTAATCGATCATAAACGAATGATCGAATAAACAACAAAGAAACGCGATAATTCCTCGGTTTTTACCGTATGAACACAAGTCGCGGATCGTAAGGAGACACAGGAGAGAAAATTTACGCCACTGACTGTGTTTTATGGGGACGATGAAAATTTCAATTTGAAAAATTTATATATTAATATTATTTTTTCCTACTGATTGCTAATTTTTCATAAAAAGATAAGATAATAAGAAGACTGCAAAAAGAACATATTTAAAATTGCATAAATGGACTAGAAAGATTAGAGAAATAGCTTATTAAAAAATAAAAAATATTTCTACACAAAATATATATTGCTCTGTTAAAAAAATAAATAGATAAAATTTCATATTTCGGAAGACAATGATAAAATACTGAAAAATAGTTGAATGCCAACATGTGGCTTCCTTAATAACAATAATATCTATCCATAAATTTTCTTCAGGAAGAGATAAATGGAAGTTCATTTAAATTTCTACGAAGAAGTAATCAAATAAAGCTACATAAAACAATATCTACAAAATATTTTCTTAAACGTAGAACTATAATACAAATTTATTTTCTAATTCAACGACTTAAAAAAAGTAAGATATATTTCTCTTACATATTAATCAATCCAAATAAAATATTCGTCCCCACATACACAACCGATAGCGCGATAGATCATCGAAAAACGAGAAGAGCTACATCTCCGGTTGCTAATGTTCGACTAACGAACACGATACATCACGATCATCAACACCGGAACACGTTAATGTCCGTTGCGTCAAAACGCAACAAACGGACTTCAGTGACCGGGATAATCTTAATTATGATTCATTCTCCGCGTATATTTGCGCTTGATCTTTTCCTCTGGCTTACCTGAGCGACCGCAATCACTGCAAGAGACCAACTCCTCGGAACCGCCGGTCTTTTTATTTTCCCTAGCATCGCCCAAACAGAAGTCGCAGTATGGGGACGGTTGCGCGGACTTTCCAGCTTTTTTTTCATTTGTCCCTGGCGTCGGTGGGCCCTCCGCTCTCACGGAAGAAGGCGAGGGGACTGCCGTCCCTGGAGAAGGCACAGCTGGTAGATGTTCTTCCTTCACGACCGGTATCGTAGGTGAAGCTGGTGCTACCGTCGGTGGTACCGCGGGCAGTTGCTGCTGCTGCGACGGTTGCTGCGACTGTTGCGATGGTTGCTGCTGTTGCTGCTGCTGAGACTGTTGCGATGGAGGCTGCGCCGGTTGCGATTGCGGCTGTGGCTGCACCGATGCTCCCGCAGCGGTCGCAGAGGGCGCTGCGGGAGAGGGACTCGACGTACTCGACGAAGTTGCATTCTGACGACCCCGACGTGTACCACCTGATCACAAACCGACCACATACCCAGTTGCGCTTTGCGTCACAAGCTAATGACCATGCACACTGGCTTAGAGACAATGATTTAGAGTCAATTTCTGTGATAGCGAACAGCGATAATCGATTCGGTTACGAGATTTACTTCCGTTCATCGGAAATTAAATGCGAATTGCGATCAAGAATTGATCGATTTGATAATATTCAATTTTGTAGTTATGGTTGTAGTGAGTGATTGCCGGTTTTGTATAATGATTTTAATAGGTATTTGAAGAGGTAAGATACAATAAAGAAATTCTGAAACAAAGACTGTTCAAAATCTTTCAAAGATTTTCCGTATTTTTGTGAAATATTTCAGAATGCGCTATCGTATAAATGTTCAATTTATTGAATAAAATTGAATTTTTGGGAATTATAATTTATGAATCATGAACAATATTTTTTAGTTGAAAATAAATATCAGAAACCAATAACAATCAATTTTATAACGTTAAGAGCAAAAAATATTTAAACTTAATTTTTTGTACAAAATATGATCAAGTTATGTTATTAACAGTTTTGAAAAGATATAAAGATAAAAAAAATTAGATCACGCAATGCGAGATTATTTTGAACAGTGAACAGATTTTGTGTTATGTTAATAAAAAAAGAATGTTAGATTTTTATAAAATTTGAAAAATTTTCACAATAGGCAATCACTTACCATAAATCATGAAATTGTTATCTCGAATAACAAGAATCGATTATTCGATGCATCACACATGTTTTAATGAAAAGAAACTGACACAACAATAAGGAAACAAATAAAATAATACTTATAGATACATATAATATATATACATATATATACATATATATACATATATATGTATATATATATATATATATATACACACAAATATATAATCGTAACAAGGTGCACATATTATATCAATCCGATGCATTCCATCACCAAAAAGAGCAATTCCAAAATTATACAACGAAGTCGGGGTATATTCCAAGATCAGACAATACAGCACACAAATATGATAAACTACTTTGGCAATTCACAGAGAGAAAGAGAGATAAAGAGAGAAAGATAGAAAGAGAGAAAGAAAGATATAAGTAAACTTCTCTCCGTGCATTTCTCTTTTTTATTGAAGCTCTGCAGGCGTTCATCGATAGGAAAAATCGAAGCCAAAATCGCTCTAGGAATCCAAAGTGAAGCAGTAACAAAAACAAGCAAACAGAAATTAAAAAATTAGAAAAAAAAAATACAGACAATTGATCATATTTGTAAAAAAATATATAATACATATCACAATTAAAAATTAATAATAAATATCATCTCATGCTGTAGAAAGATATGGAAGAAACAACTATTTTAAAACAAGATTGAAAGAAACAGTATTTTGTGTAAAAATAATAAAACGCACACACATATCAAACATTCAAAAATCACTGCATTGAGGAGCATTACTGATTTCAAAATGGCGTTGCCTCTTTATACTTTCAACGTTCGAAAATATTTTTTGAAAAAAGAAAAAAAAAAAGAAAGAAAGAAAGAAAGAAAAGAAAAGAAAAGAAATGCGAATTGCAAAAACATGCTATTGCAAAACATTCACAACGATTGCTGTATTTCTCTTTATAACTTGTTTCGAGTCAGCACATCGTAAATAATATATACATGTAATATATACATGTGAAAGAAACTAAGAAATAGATTTGAAAATTTTTAGCACAATGAAATACAGATATAATATTCGATCTAATCATGACATATAAACGATATACATATCTCAAAAAATAAGATAATATCATACTGGCTTAGTTATATTTATTTCTGTATGATATTTCTACGCGACACGCGATAAAATATAATAATAAAAAAAAAAAAGAAGTAGAAGAAAAAAATATTGTGCATAAGAAATTCCATATGCATGAAAAATGCTATGGAAAAAGTGAAAACATAAAAATTTATTACGGCTATTATTTGCAATACATGCATTTGCAATACATGTAAATTAAGAAGAGAGAAAAAAGAAGAAGAAAAAGAAGAAAAGATTAAGATATTTAATTTCATCAAATTAGGAAAATGTTGAGGGTATGAACAGTAGTTGCAAGAATTAGGATTCAGAGATCAAAGATCATAAGGCATTAGGTAAAAAAAGATATTAAGGGACAAGGAACGAGAGGGCATTTTTTTTGTTTCTTTTGGGTTTCTTTTCTTTAAAGGAAAGTGAGAAAACTGAGCTGATTTTGGCTCCAACCTGGCTGGTTCGAAGCAGCGGTGTCTGCAACGCTCCTAGGTTCAACTTCGGCAGGACTGGGACTTAGTTCCTTAGCAGGATCACCGGAGGAAGTAGAGTGGGAATGACCGTAATGGTAGACCAGACCAGGTCTGGTTTTATACCGTGCGCTGCATACTGCAAAAGTGCAAATACTGTTTTCCCACAAACCATCCAATGCAACGTCCATGATAAGAGAAATCTTGGTCGACGAGTTGGTTGGACGATATGGGAGGATGTATTCGTTTAACCGCCGCGTCAAAAATCTATTCTTAAATCTTTTACAATAACAAATATCACACAGGAAGTATAGAAGATAGGATAGAATAAGATAGTCGTATAGCAAAATAGAAAAGATGTTCTTGAAGAATTTCAAGAAACGAGGCGGTTAAAGTATTCTAGGATAAAAGCTTACGGATTAGGGACAGCATTTGCACACCTTCCGCACCAGTACATATCCCTATCCACCTACGAATCTATATGTGGACAAGCAGTGAAGGAGTTCCAGCCCAAGAAGCAAAACTAATACGATGCAAGGCTTGATGCTTGTATACTCCTACAGAATGAGCTCGCTACAGTGTGAGCCAGTACATTCTTGCTCTGTTATTGGCAGGTAGTATAGAAGTCCGAAGATATTTGGCCAATTTCATAAGCTCGATGTGATCGAGATATAAAATTTAGAATATCGTGAGATTTTTCTTCGTCACAATAATCGAAGCTTACTAGTCGAGACCAAATGTCTTTAGATTTATTTTCTGCTAATCTAACAGGAGTGGTTTCAAGAAGTAAACAGATTGCAGGCACATTCGAGTTAATTTATAGACTTCATGTCTGGAAAAAGTTCGATCAAATTAGTAATGACTATTATACTCCTTCAAGGTTTGGGCAAGCGCGAAATGAAATTACTTATTTTGTGAAATTATACTTCAAATACTTTTGATACTTCTATTAATCCTATTATTATAATTTTATCTCATAATGTGACAGATATAACAAAAATGTGTTTAACTACTACATAATAAATATAAATACTATAAATATATTAAGTTAAATATATAATCGCGATTCATAATAATGTGATTTTATAAAACGCGAATTAAATAATAAATTATAATACACGATTTTAGGGGATAATTATCTTTGTACATACAAAATGACAAAGTAATATTACTTCATTAAAATTTCATATAACCTGAAATAATATAATATACATTCTTTTAAATATAAAAATTTAAAATATTTTATTAATATTAATGTGTATATTCAATCTTTGCCTTTCATCCATGAATCATACCACGTCTCTTCATACTTCGACAAATAGGAAAAGAGAAATGGAATATAAGGTTTTTGATACAGAAATTATATAATAAGGACTGGAATATGCTAAGTAATATACTGCAAACTTATAAACTTGAAGGAAAACAGCAGTCAATACAATAATGATCAATTCTTCTAATTAAAAGAGCATTAAAAGTCAATATGAAATTAATTTAAATCTAACAGGGCACCCTTCCACGTTATAAATTCAATTATATTTAATTCAATCACCATCCCCAAATGTAAAATTATGCGGCAACCAAAACTAAAGTCTTTAATGATTTATTTTGTATCATCATTTTATATCATATAGTAACCTCTGCGTATTTTGTAAAATAATACGTAGGCATTGTAAAAATATAGTTATTTAATAAAAGTAACAAATTTTCTAACTTAATGCAATTTTTTTTCTTATTCAAAATTAACAACTGATAAACTAATAATAATATTTGTAATGAAACTAATAACAGGAAGTGGTCATTTGTAGTTGTATCTGTGATTAAACTTACGGTCACAAACGAATGGCTTATCAGTGTCAACGGCATCATAGTTGGTTTTTTTGCGCCCGCGTCCCCCACCCTATATATAATAAAATATGCACAATAAATTTAATATTTATCATATATAAAAAAATAGAAATTTGTATGGAAGAATCAATTTTTTTCTTTCATTATTGAAATAAAATATTCACATAATTCACAAAATAATAAAAATATATATAATTTACCTTAGTACGTTTACCCCCAGGACTATCTGTGGAAGAGGGATGATTTCGTGCAGGATGATGACCACCTCCACGTGGTTTTCTTCTTTTTCTTTTACTGCTATAACTTTCTTCATAATCATAATCACTTTCAGCATCAGGTTCTTCATATGTGTCCATATCTAACATATCTTGCTCATCATAGTACCATGCATCTTTACTATGTTCATCTGCATAAAATTATTACATAATTGTTATATTTTATTACATATTTATTTTATTAATATAAATATAAAAAAACAATAAATATAATTACCTTTGAGAGCTACTGAATCTTTACTATCATCATTTACATGTGTAACAGTCTCTACACCTTCATTGCCATCTTCAGTATCTCCTCTTGGTCCTCTTTTTGGATGCAAATAATGCATTAAATATTGTCGTCGTTTTTTCCTCCATCTTTTACTAGGATATGTGTATATTTGACCATGTAATAAACCAGGTAACCTTTCTCTTGAAGACATAAATAACGCAGAGTGATTTTGTGCTACACCTGTAATTTTATATAGTTAAATTATAACAGCAACAATTACGATCGATACAATATAATTATATATTTTAATTTCAAGATTAACATAATATTTATAATAATCAATTTCAATTACATCTCTAATTATTTTTATTTGTTTATATTAAAATTTTTTCAAATAAAATAGCGAAATCAATGAAACAAGATTAAGTTATTTCAAAAGTTATTTTCAAAACATTTAAATAAGGAAATTTACAGAGTGCGAATAAACTCATTGATCGGATAAATATAAAAAACTTCATAGAAAAATTATAATACTAATACCTGTTTGAGAATCGAGGAAAGGCATACGTAAACGTCGTTCTCTGCATAATCGGCTATTATAGTTTGAAGAATTTTCAATGGCTTCTCTATATGCCGTGTCATTGAGGAAGCTACGAAGAAATCAATAGTAATCACATAGATTTTGGAATCGTATTAAAAATAAATTTATATTTTATTGTCAACAAAATACATACCTTTCAATTTTACATAAATTACTTTCATTTACAACTTGAATAATTCCCTGTGCAGCCGGTGAAATAGTAATGGCTGTCATCTTATAACAACCAAACATACGCTCGCAAATTCTACTTGCAGCTTACCGTTCTTACCGGAAGCAGAACTCCATATTTTCAGGCATGCGCATTCGTTTTAATCATGATTTTAACTAAGAATGTACCATAGACAAGATATAATATAGATCTGACAATTTAAAACATATTAAATTTTATATTAAATATTAATATAAAAAAAATAGATTTGATAAATGAATCTTCGATAATATTGTTTTTCAATAGAATGTTTCAAAATTTCTTATTCTCTTTATTTTTAATCAAGCTTTTATTTGTTGTTTAAATTTGTAAAATAGTCACGTCAATGCTTTGCGTCAATACACAATATATCAGTATATATTATATTTTGCGAGATACATTATAAAATTGAAAATGTAATATTTATATTTTTTATCTTAAAGATTAATATATATTGTATTTTTGAAAGAAAATTGATAAAAATATATTCAATTGATATATTTCTTTTATGGTCTGCATCAAGAACAAATATATATAAGAAAGAAAATAATAGAAATAGAGAGATAATGTGCAAAAATTATTGTCATTTCAAGAGATGTACATTAAACACAAATACATTAAAAAAATAATGAAAAAATAGAGAAAAGAATTGAATATCAGCATTATCTTTTGAGTACTAATTGCATCCTCAAAAATTAATCAAAAGATGACGTTAATATTTTATTCTTTTTCTGTTTGGAAGTGATACATCTTTAATACTTCAGAGATGGTGCTAACAGTGAATTTTTATCCTTTCTTGTTATTTACTCTATTTACATATATTTCGTTTACAACGTGAAAATAATGCTTATTATAAAATTTTTATTTTATCTCTATTTTTCTTGCACTGTTTATTCTTCTTGTTTTTATTTTTTGTATAAAATTGATGTGCTCAAGAAATGGCTTTAATATTGATATCATATATTACTTTTAAATAAGAACAAATAATAAAAAAAAAAAATACAATAGGACAAGAAGCATTAAAAATTAGCGTTATACCTCTTGAATCTAGAGATATTTTACAAAAATAATTAAGATATGGCTCTTTTTCTATTTTTTTTTCTTATTATTTATTTTTTCTGTCCATATGTTAAAAGATAATAAGAAATTATAAGCTATAAGTCATTTTTTATTAAAACAATATTTTTATTATTAATAAAAAAAATAATTTTATTCGTATTTTTTTATTATGTAAAAAATAAATAGTTTTGAATAGTAATAAAAAAATTTTCATTTTTGTTAATATGATCTAATCTTTTTACAATAATTTATTCTCAAAAAATACTAATACAGTTACAGCAACATGCATATATTGACAGTATCTGCAAATTATGAAGCACAGCCGTTGAGATGAACATTTAGAGATACAATGTACGCTCAGTTTTTGTTATTAAAAATAAAAAATTAATTGTAGTTTTTGAGTAAAATTATTTATCACAAAAATTTCTTTATTGATTAAGAATTAAATAAAAAATAAGACTTGTAAAAAGTAAGAGAATAAATTATAATTGATATTAATAAAAAAATTCACATTTTTTTTTAGAAAGAGATCTATTCAATGAAACTGAAGATTTTTATAAATTATTTATATAAATTATAAATTATTTTTACAAGCATAAATACATGACCTAATAAGCTGAAATTTGAATGCAAATTTAATAATTATATATTTTTATATAATTTTTTTAGAAATAGATCTTTTATATAATGATATTCTTTTGCTATATATTATTTTACATATTTAAAAAATGTGATTTTAGATCTATTAAGAATTACAACTAGTTTCATTAAAATTATAATTTAGAAATAAATATTATGTGTACAAAGCTTATTTAAAAATTTTCTTCACAGTTTTTATCTTTTCTTTCTTTGAATATTCGGAATTTTTTAAGTAGATCATCAACAAGAATTTCTCCATGTACTACATTATCTCTAGTTCGTACATTTACTGTACCAGCATTAAGTTCTTTTTCTCCAACAACTAAAAATATAAGAATTAAACAAATTAGTATTTTGTTATTTAATATATAAAATATTATATATAGAGAATATTTCTTTACCAAGGATGAAATTGAACTGAGCAAGTTGGGCGTTTCGTATCTTTTTATTTAGAGTATCACTTGGATCTGTATCAAGTTCTGCCATAAATCCATTATTCCAAAGTTTATCTTTTACTTGTATGGCATAATCATCAAACTGAGAGCTTACTGGTATAACCATTGCTTGCCGCGGAGACAACCAAAATGGCCATTTTCCAGCATAAGATTCTGTTAAAATTGCGATCATTCTTTCTACAGAACCCAAAATCGCTCTATGAATAATTACTGGTCTCGTTTTTTCTCCGGCTTCGCTAAAATTTTAAATTAGAATTACAATTAAAGATATAAGTGCAATTTAAGATTTTAATTAAAATGAATTCAAAATTATTCTTACTTAACATAAGATAAATTAAATCTAATTGGTAATTGAAAATCCAATTGAATAGTAGCACACTGATGAGCTCTTTTAAGTGCATCCATAATTGTTATATCAATTTTTGGGCCATAAAATGCACCATCTTCTGGATTAATTTTCCATTGTTCTCCAAATGCATCTAAACTTTCTGCTAATGCTTTTTCTGCTTGATTCCACATTGCTAAATCTCCTAAATATTTTTCAGGCCTTGTAGATAAACATAAATTAAATGTAAAACCAAACACAGAATATACATGTTTTAAAAATTCAAGTGCACCAATCATTTCATCTTTAATTTGATCAACCGAACAGAATATATGTGCATCATCTTGTTGAAAACGCCTGACTCTAGTTAATCCAGTTAATGCTCCAGACAATTCATTTCTATGTAATACTCCGAAATCTGCCATTCTTAGCGGTAATTCACGCCACGATCTATTACGAACATCAAAGATCAGACAATGACCAGGGCAATTCATTGGTTTAAGTGCAAAAGTTTCCTTCTCAACATCAAAGGAAAACATATTTTCTGCATAATGCATCCAATGACCGGATGTTTGCCATAATTTACTGTTATAAATATTAGGTGTGACTACCTCTTGGAAACCTCGTTTTCTATATTCAGAACGAATAAATTCAACTAAAGTATTGTAAATATAAGCACCACGTGGTTGAAAGAAACATGATCCTGGAGAAAGTTCATGGAAGAAGAATAGTTCTTGTTCCTTTCCTATTTTTCTATGATCTCGTTTAGCAGCTTCTTCCTGGAACTTTTCCCATTCTTTTAATTGCTTAGTATCTGGAAAACTAATACCATAAACTCTTTGTAAAGATTCTGCATTGGCATTTCCTTCCCAATAAGTAGAAGAATTTTTGGTGATTTTAATAGCTTTAACTTTTCCGGTATGTCTAATGTGTGGTCCTCTGCATAAATCAATTAATGGACCACATCTATATACTGTAGTGGTAGGAGTATGTATTTTTTCATTAATAATTCGAACTTTAAATTCATTATATTTAAACATCTCTAAAAGATCTTTCTTAGTCATTTCTAATCTCTCAAATGGTTGTTTGTCTTTCACTATACTTTTATAAAGACTTTCCAGAAATGGAAAATCTAAATTAGAAATTCCTTTATCACCTAAATACATATCATAATAAAATCCATTTTCTATTGGTGGACCATAACATAAACAACCACCATAAACTCTTTCCATAGTTTCTCCCAAAATGTGAGCACTGGAATGCCAAAAAACTTGTTGGGCATCTGGATGATCAAACTTAAGAAGTTCAAGTTTGCAATTAAATTCTAAGGGTCTGTCAAGATCCCACAATTCATTATTAACCTTTGCAATTATAGTATTATCTGCTAAACCTTGACTAATATTCTTAGCAATTTCATATGGTGTTGTATGCCAAGATTGAGCAATAATTTCCTTTCCATCAGGAAGAATCACTTTTATGTCAGTCATTGATTTTGAAGCTAATGATGCTTCATACTCTGCTTTAAGCTTATCCCACAATATAATACGATCCTGAAAAGATAATTATTCAATAATTGAATAATAACATATAATATATATATACCATATAAAAATTAATTTGAATTAATTAAATTTATTTCTTAAAAACTATTCAAATTTGTAACATTTTAAAATATAAATAATTAAAATTTAAAAATAAAAGTATGTAAATACCTGAATGTAATTTGGCCAAGGATTTAGTTCAGAAACAGATTTTTCATTTGTAACGGCAATCTTTTTTTTCGATTTCATTTTCGTCTATTGTTGAAGAAAAAAAATATTAAGTTTTATCAAAAAAGCTTATTATTTTTTAAATTCAGAAAACACAAAAAATTTTATAGAAAAGTTTGTTATAATTTTTTAAATTTAAAAAATACAAGAGATTAATATATTTAAAATAGAATTAACATAACAATGATCAATCCTATAAAGTCAGATTGCATCAGAATATTGATTTTAAAGATATGGGTGGTTATTCTTAATATGGCACGCCTTTTAAAATAACAAATACTTTGAAAAATAAATAAAAATAAAAAATTCATGATGTTAGCGATATTAAAATCATAATGAAGATATACTTTATAACCAACCCAAGTATGTGTCCTTTTAGAAACATTGTAAAGGTTTCTATTATTGCGAATAAGCAAAGTCATCAACATATTTTATAGCTAAAAATAAAAATTTAAAAAATTTTATCAAATGTAAACTATATTCATGCCTTTTCTTCCTTTATATTCAGGTTTTCCATGTCATTCACCACGTTGTCACACATGTTGTCGACCATATTGAAATACTAATGCTTTTAGTTGAGTAAATCAACGTGTATTTTCTATGTACCTATATGAAATAATGATTAACAGAAATTGATTTTTTTTTATGAGTTCAATCTATATCTTTTCATTTCGGGATAGAAAAAAGAAATAGAAATAAAAAATTAATATTTTCTTTTTTATTAAAAAATAATCATTTATAAAACATATTTTAAATGCTTTACAATATGTATTAATTGCTTACATAATTCATACATATTACATTGTAAACGGTATAATAGAACATGTATATGTACATATGTATATTGTTGTTATTTCTTATTTAAAAAAATTATAATTATTTATTACATTTTGTTTCCTATTTTTGAACAAATAAAAACAAGTTTATATTTTCCTAAAAATGTATCCGTTCGTGTCGAATAATATGACTACGGTGATGAAATCTTTTTCCACAAGCGCGACAAACGTAAGGCCGTTCATCAGTATGAATTCTACTATGAATTTTTAAATCGTATTTTTTAAAAAATGATTTACCGCATTGAGAACAAACATGATTTCGTTGTTTTAAATGATCACGTTTTACATGTTCCTACAAAACAATTACCAAAACAATTATTGTAATATCACTTAATATATTAAAAAAATATTTTCAAATATACTCACATTTACTTGCGAAGAAGTGTTATAAATTTTATTACATATATCACATGCAAATTTCTGTGGACCATCTGGTCTATGATTATTTGCAATATGTTTATTTAATGTTGATTTCCAAGCAAAAGATATTTTGCAATCTTTACAATGAAATTTTTGCTGGTCTGCAAAATGAGTACCTATATGTTGCTTATAATTGTAACTAGTTGAAAAAGATTTTTCACATACTGTACATTGAAATTTTATTAAAAAAGTTTTTGTTTTTTTTGAATCTTGTTCATTTTTTAATTTTTCATTAATACTAATGTCATTTTCATTTTTTTCTTGTTTTCCATTGGTTTTAATAATTGCATTATTACTGTTATTATTACTAATAATATTTTCTTCGTTTGATTGTATAACATTAACTTGATTGAAATTTTGAAACTGTAAGAATTCTTCACTTTCTTTATTACATTCTGAAATTTTTGAGTTTTGATTCTCAAGTCCTGTTTCAACAAATTCAAGAAATCGTTCGGAACTGTCATCGTAATTTAATCTTTCAAATACTTCGAAATTTGTTTCAACATATTTATCAAAATCATTTTGTGTGTCTAATAAAATTTGATTTGTAACAAAATTTTTTTCTTCCTCTTGTAATTCATATTGCACATAATTTAAGTCATTATGTAAATCATCTCGTATACTTTGCTCTTGATGATTTTCTTCATTTATATTTGTATCAGGATCATCTTTATTCTCATGATTTTTTGCAGATTGTGTATTTGGTAATTTTTCAATTAAATTGTTAATTAAAAATTCGTAAAATTGTTCTCCTGTTTCTGTCTGTACTAATCGCAACATTGGTTCATCATGATTTACAATATTATTTATGTCATTTAAATCATCAGATATTTTTCCGCTTTGTATTAAATTTATTTCCCGATTTTTATTTATATTTGAATCAGAATTAATATGTTCATTGCTATTAGATTCTGAGAGATCTATCTTTTGAAACATATCAGTAACATTTACAGAAGTATTTATTAAAGTATTATAATTCGTTTCGGATTTTTGTAAATCTAATTCGCACGTTTGTATACATAATTTACTTTTAAGAATATTTTCGTCTATTTGACAAACATATGTTACATTTTCTTTTTCTATGCAATTAGATTTATATGACAAAAGTGAAGTATCTTGAACAAATTGAGTTTGTTCATTCTTAAATGTTACCTTCTCAGAGATATTTAATTCTTCATCTGCTAAAATCTTTGTTTCACATAAATTTTCTCGTAAAACTTGATTTCTATTGTCTTCAACATTTTCTAAATTAATTTTCTTCAACTTTTTTCATATAAAAAATTAAATATATATAAAAATATTTTAAAATTATATTAGTTATAAATATTAAAATATTTACCTGTTCTGATGTGATATAAATAATTGTTTCTAATGGTAAGGCTTTTTTTATATTTATTTCATTTTCAAAAAAATCAAAATTATCATTATGCTCTGTTTGTTTTTTAAGTTCTGTAGTTTTCTGAAAACTCTAAATGAAAGAAATAAATCAAAAACACATAATTCTTAAATATTTTTTATTTTCAAAATTCTTACCATTTTATCATTCTTATATTCCAAAGTTTCTGAATGGGATTTCTCATGTTCTCTTAAGAGAAAGATAAAATTGAAACTTTCACCACAAATTTTACAATAATGTTGTCTCTTGACAACCTTTTGCTGACTAGGTGCATTACCTTCAACAAACTGTACATTGACAGTAAGATATACTTAGATTCAAAGGATATTATGTAATATCACATTTGTTCATCACCTTATTCTTATATATTGCATGATCATTTTTCTGTAAATTACTATTGTTGAAATTATTTTGTAAATGAAATTTAATATCATCTTTTACCCTTTCATGAATACGTTTGTGTCTTGCAAGGGAACTAATCTGAGTAAAACGTTTACCACAAATGGAACATGGATATAATTTTATTCCTAGAAATTTATTTTCAAATTAAAATTTTTTTCATTTATTTTTTATTTTATAAAAAATTTTGATTGCAATTACCAGCATGCATTCTGCAATGTCTAATTAAATTAGATATGTGATTAAATTTTCTTCCACAAACTTCACAAATGCAAATATTTGTGCCTAAGTGAATATTCAAATGGGTTCTTAAGTCTGCTTTGCGAAAAAAACCTTTGCCACAGATTTCACAAAGTTGAGATTTTTCTCCTAAATGTATACTTCGATGATGGTAATCATATTGAGAAGCTCTGTCAAAAGTTAAACTGCATTGTTGGCATTTAAAAGGTCTTAATATAGTTTCATAAAAATCATTATCAATTTTTTTTAGTAAAGAATATTTTGGCACTGTTTCTAATCCATTGTTTGTATCTTTTTTAAAGTATTGCATATGTTTCAATAATACATCTCCAGTATGAATATGTAAATGACTGTAGAATTCTTTTTTGTTTATATATCTAACATCACATACTGGACATACAAAATTGATGGATTGCATTTGAACCATATCATTTTTATAATTTTCTTCTGAATTTAAAATAAATGACATGCTTTTATACTCTTATAGAAAATACTTTTATAGAAAAAGTTTTTATTTTTCAAATATAACAATCAAAATGATATTAAAATTTTAATTTTTAAACATCTATCTTATTAAAACGATAACCTAAAAAAATTTGATATCATTAGTTTATTATTTTTCTAGTTATTATTTTTTCGTTATATATGATTTTCAATTAATAATTTTATATAATAAAGTATTTAAATTATAATTAAATAAATAAGACGAATTCCATGGAATTATACATACACTTCAATTTAATACTTATACGATGCAGTTACATTGTTTTTAATAATTATAGAAAATTTTATATTTAAAACATCTTTCATTAATTAACTTTATATTCACGTTATTTCAAATTTTTAAAAAAAAAATGCAAAGCATTACTTTCCTTTTTACTTTGAAATACATGTTAAATGTATATAAATATGAAACAAAGTTTTTGTATTGGTATTACTTATTTAAAGCCTTATGTTGGTAAGATTGTATCTTTTGATTAATTTTTAAAGGTGAATTATAATATTTGAGTTTGAATTTATTGTTTGCTGATGTTAAAAATTTTACTATATTTTATATAAAACATTTCAAAGTTTAATTTAAGGTAAATTCATTTCAATTATTAAGTATCATATAATATTAAATATAACAAATATATATATTGAACATTAAATAAATATTTGTAAAATGTTGACTATAATATATTACTGATCCGTTATATATTCAAAGAAGTGATGTTGGTAATGTAATTGAAAATATAATCGAATTTTATTTTGAATTTATTCATTAAAAATCAAAGTGAAAAAATATAAGAAAAACAATCACGATAATGGGAAATTATGTTAATAAATTTTTTACTCATAAAACTGAAACGTATAACAATGAGATTGAAAAAGAAGAAATAAAAGATTCATCAGCGATAGATGAAGTAACTATTGAAAAAAATATGCAAACTCCACCAATAATTCGTAAAACATTAGTTACAGATCCTAGATCTGTAACGAGTGGAATAAGTAGAACACCAATTGAGGTAATTATAACATAAATTGATATAAATTTTATAAATTATTAATTTATGTAATATTATTAATATATATAAATAATAAATAATATTAACATTAATAGGTGAATAATACACCTGTTGGATTAAATAAAAAAATAATATCAGCAATTCCAAAACATTTACAAAATAAATCATACTTGGAAACAGATATAGATAAAATAATGTTATGTTTAACTCCTAAAAAACATTTGATGCCAAAATTAATAGAAATTCCAAAAGTATATCTCAACATTTTCTCTTTTTTAAAAAAATGAAATATTTTACTTTTGTTGTTATATATATTATTATTTTTATTGTTATAAATAATTTATGAAATTTATTTATTTTAAATATTTTAGCAAAATAAAAATGAAGAAAATCTTTTAACACCAACAAGTAATAATTTAAATAATAAAAAAATAATCACTGATATAGAAAAGGAACGTTATAATATTCTAGGACTTGATCCTAGATCTCCAGCAGCAGATTTTGATAGAACTCCAATTTTAATGCCAAAATCTATTGAACGTTTAAGAGCAAGATCTCAAGAATGTTTGCATAGACAAGGCAGTTATGATACAGATATTTTTTATCCAAAATTTTCATATTGTGAAATGTCATCACAATTTAATGTTACTGAAGTACAAGTTTTAGCGGATTTAGACACATCTGCAGTAAATTCTTTACATTCAGTTATTACTGATTCTGATGACAAATTAAATGAACCTGAATCATCATATTCAAATGATTCAGTTAAAACTAATTTTATTTCAGAAATTGGTAAGAAATTAGTATTAATAATTTAAAGTTAATTTGTATTATAATATATAAAAATGTTTCAAAAAATTTATTATATCTGATCAAAAAATATTTATATTAGTAGAAAAAGAATTAGAAGATCAAAATGAAGTTCAAAGCATTTTAGAACAAAATAATTGTAATGATAATAATATTAAAAAGAATGCAGAACAAAAATGTATTATTAATAATGATATAATTAAAATATGGAGGGATTCATTAATATTGGATACATTCGAGGAATCAGAATTAAATGAATCAGATAATGTACAAGAAGTTACAGAAAAAATGTCACAAATAAATAAGGAAGAAGTAATTATAACATTTGACAATGATAATACCAAAGACTTAATTCCAAAATTAATTAATTCTGAAAATGAAAAGACAAAAGTAGACACACTTAAAAAAAAGAAAAAAATTATCAAATCAGAAATTAAAGTTACAACAGATGAAAAAAAATCTTTTATTGATAAAAATGAAAATGAATCCATAAAGGTATTTCATAAATAGTAATAGTTATAAAATTAATTATTTTTAAGGAAATAAAAATATTATATGCATATTTTTATTTTCAGATTCGAACTCCTCTTGGAAATCGTTCAAATAATGAACAAATACAAACACTGTTAACAAAGTCACCACAACAGGTGTTTAAGAATAGAAATGTTGTCTCAAAAATATTAAAAGAAAATACACCACCGCATAAAAAATATTTTGTAAAATCTAAATTAAATGGTGTACAATGGGATCCAGATTCAACTGTTATTATTTAAGATTATTAATTTTTATAAGAAAAGTTTAGACATAGTTTATATCTTTTATAGAATTATTTTTATATAAAAATTTAAATAATTGTAAAAATTAATTGTAAACATAAATGTAAAAAATTAATTGCAATAGTGTATTTATTTAATATAAAATAAATAATTTTCTTAAAAAAGAATTTTTTTCTCTATTACATATTTTAATATAAAATCATGGATTTTCCTTATTATTCATTTGCATGGCCGCTCGTATTTGCGATTTAGCTTCTTTAATTGACAATTGCAGATTTTCACTTGGTTGTACCAACTGGGACACACTACAATAATTATAACATATTATAAAAGTATATATGATATAAAATATAATATATAATCTACCTTGGATCTTTTATTATAATCCTTTTTTTCTCAACATCATTTTTTGGTATTAATTTAATAGTTATATTACTATCAATTTTCTTTGGATTAGAAAATATATTTTTATTTGAAATATCCCATTTTACTATAGTACTTGTATCTACAAGTTGTGGTTTAACAAGTCTAACTTTTACATTATTATTAATATATTGTCCTTTATAATTTTTTCTTTTGTTTTTAGTATAATTTGATTTTAATATAGTTTCTTTAGGTACACTTGTCTTAATAATAGCTTCAGTTGAATGATAAGGAACTTTTAATATAGATGCATTATTTGAATATTCAAATGAAGTAGATGGTAGATTGGATTGACATACTAATCTTGGATCTAGATTTTGTGGTATACCATCATAAATAGATGATAAAGTTTTCCCAGGATACTGTTGAATAAGACGCTCTTTTGTAAGTGGTAAAGCAGGTGTTCTCTTTCTTCTATTATATTGTTCTCTGAAAATTATTATTCAATATAATAATTCAACTTTTTTATTTACTATTATTTTCATATTTTACATACTTGGGAATAAATTTATTGATATTTGGATTCTTTAGATCTTGTTGATTTTTTTTAATACGTATATTTACATCTTTTTGACGTTGAAGAAGTTTTTCTTTAGTTTCTGAGATACTTTCAAGTTCAGGTACATAAAAAACATGTAATGAACCTCCATAAAAATTTTTATCATCAATGAATCGTTTTGCTATTCTATATAAATGTATAATATGAAACATAAATATAATAAATTATAAAACTTTAAATTATATATTATTATATATCATTACTATAGAAATATATACTATAAAAATATATACTATAAAATATATACTATAAAAAAATATATTTACCTTGCACTTTGTATATGAACATATTGTATATAATATGCTTCTGTAAACTCTTCTGTGGGATAATCATGAACTATGTGAATTTTTTTTATATTACCATAAGATTCAACAAGTTTTTTTATTTCTTCACCTAATTGGAGTTTTGGTACTCCACATATCATTAAATGTTTTGATTCATCATTTATTGTATAAACCTGTTACATAGAGCTAGTGTGTCAAGGAAATATTATTGAAGAAAAACAAAAATGATAGCAGATTATAAAATTAATTATTTAAAATAAAATTATATAAATTTGAAAATTTAAATTCGTTATAATTTTTAAAGAAATGTATATAAATGATCTAGTAATTTTTATAATTAATTTATGATTTAATTAAAAAAATAATATAAAATAACTTAAAATATTATTTATTATTAAACTTATTTTATGAAAAATAGGATACAAGTTCACAATGCTACCTTCACAGATGTTAATTTTTTTCCCTGCCTATAAGGAGGTCGTGTATTACACAATTTTTGTTGTATATGATGAGGAAGTTTTGTTATAGTACAATTATCCATGATTTATATTATTATATTTTTCACTAAAATTTTTAGTATAGTAATTATAGTAACTTTATAAATATTTTATATCAACTTGTTAATATTTTGAAAGATATCATTGTTTCAATAAATTTTAAATGAATTATAAATATTTATATGTGTTAATAATTATCACAATGCTTTTAGTATTTTGATATACAAGAAACACTAAATGTACAATAGCCAAATGAATTTCCACATTGCGAATAATGCTAGAAATTAGTATAATTTATAGTGTCATGGCGTCATGACTCGTATTGTAGTGAAATGAGAAAAGAAATAACGGGTGTCCTATTACATCGTATTGTTTTAGAATTAGATTAGTTTAGGGATAAGATCAAAAAATAACAATTTATAAATCCATAATTTTCAAATTCGAATCTTGAATATTTGAAAAATCAAATTTAAATCAAACTAAACATCGTATTTCCAAGTTAGTCTAATTCTAATTCTAACAATGCAATATTCGGTATTTTTCCTTTCACTTTCTAATTTTTTTCACTATTTCCAATATAGAAATTTGCATAATTCTAAATGTGCCAGATATAATAATAATTTGAAATAAATGGCTTTCTTTCCATAATAACATGGGAATTTCTGCGTATATATTTTTCTGCATATCTGCAGAATTAAATAGACATGATAACTTTTTTTTTAAAATTGTCTTTGTTTTGAAAAATATAAAAATAAAAAAATTCAATATTATAATTTTTATACATAATTTTTATTATATTATCAATATAACTCATTATTTTCTATAAAAAATTCTAAGTTATATTTATGTTGGCAAATTTTTAATTTAAGAGATAGGTTACTGAAGTTTATAAAAATCATATGAAAGACAAACATGTGTAATTTTTATTATTTTTGTCTTTCATATAAAAAATATTTGTTATTATTATTTGTCTAAAACTATATGTGAGGCAAAAATTAAATCTTTTTTTATTATGCACATGTATTGCACATTATGCACATATATTGCATATTATGCATATGCATATGTTTCAATAATTAATTGACGTATATATTATACTTAAATTATGTAATATCTTACAAGGATATAGAAACTATGCACAGATGCAATTATTTTGATTGCAATTTGCAAACAGTACATAATATATAGTGTATATAAGTTAGAGAAGAAGAAACATATAACCATTATTAAAGTCAATAATATATTAACATTAATTATTAATTAATTTTATTAGATTGTAAAGAGATAGACAGTCATAAATGAATATTTCAAAAAAATATAACTCACATTTAGTTGTTGTAATATCCATTGTTTTTTTTAGAAAAATTCATAAAATACGTGATAATTTTTAACATGTATTAGTATTCTGATCATAATAACTACTTAGTATTACTTTTTTACATATAATTTATTTTTAATTTTACTCTAAATATACATGAACAATAATTTAGAACAATTTTATTAAAATTTTTGTCAGAAATATAAATAAATATGAATAATATATGAATAATATATCATTGTCCAAAAAAATAATGGCATACATATAGCAGATACATAAATTCCTTTGCTGTTTGTTCGTTGAGTAAATTTATATATGATAGAAGTAGAACATGAAAGTTATTTATTTTTTCTGAATAATGATTGTTCTCAATCTATATATTTCATTAATATTATTTAAAAATCTTTTTTTATATGAAAGGTAAAAGTAAAATGATTGGAGGACGTTATTGTAAGGATAAAAAAATTAAATTGTATTTGTAGAAACGGATAACTTGACGACCTCTTGTGGGAAAGATAGTAAGTTAATGGACCTCTGGTGGCAAACGTGGGAAGTATCTCCACAACATATTAAGCGTTTTACAGTGTAACAGCATCAAAGAAAATTTGTTCACAATTAACAAACAGGTTGTTTATCAGCTTCTGTAAATACGTTTTACTTCATATTAGAAAAAGTTAGAATTTTAATACAGTTTATTGGATTTATTTCTTTTTTTCGAAAATAATTCATATAACCTTTATTAACGTTTTAATTTCGATAGAAATAGGTTTTGTCTTATCTTCATCTATTATATATTTAATTATTTCATGATAAATCAATCAAAGGAAAATTTGTAGTAATAAATATAAATATCGAGGAATCTCAATATTATATTTTATATTGTGAAAGTGAATTTTCTATTCATTTATATTTGAACGTGACGTAGATCTACTATTCGTTACAATATTTTGTGTTAAAGAAACTATAGAATTAATATCATTTTATTAAAATTTACATAATCTCTTTTTTTAATTTAATAAATTATGCAAATATAAATTAAGTCAAAATTGTAGGTGTTTTTCATTTATTAAATACCCAACAGTGTATTACATACCATATGTGAATTAAATAAATATAATTTAAAAATCTATTAAATGTAACATTAATGAAGATTAAATACTATTAAAATTGCTTTATAAAATAATAATAGAAAACTTATGTTTATTTACAGAATTAATAACTGCAATGGATTCAGCATAGCAACATTAACTAATATTAAACAACAAATATCGTTTGTCCCTTATTGTCCATTTAGATTACATTTTCTTTTACATATTTAAAGTTATTATATTATCCTATAAATTATTTCATTATGTCTGCAAATACTCAATTTGCAAATCCTCCACCAGCTATAAGTTTACCTAATATGTCTGTGCCACCTCCTGCTACTCCAAATTTATCAGCTCCACCTCCTAATTTAACTACTATAAACACATCTGGAAGTTACCAGCATCGATATACCAATCATAGGGATGGAGCAAGAGGATTTTTTAAACCGTTTAGACCTTATCATGCACCAAAAATTGTTGCTGCTGGTCAAGATACATTACAAGATGAGTTTGATGGAAAAAGACTTCGGAAATCTGTTATGCGTAAAACTGTAGACTACAATTCTGCTATTATAAAGAGCTTAGAGGTAATTCTTGATAGAATTCTATATTTTGAATATAATTCTGATAAATAATAGTAATATTATATTTTTTATTTATAGAATCGAGTATGGCAGAGAGATTATAGGGACAGACGTGCCCTTCAACCAGATGTGATGTATTATCCTGATCTACTTCCACCACCTAGTTATGTTGATAATCCCATAAATGCAGTTACTACAAGATTTGTAAAAACTGCAACGAATAAAATGCGATGTCCTATCTTCTGTATGGCTTGGACACCAGAGGGAAGACGTCTTGTTACTGGTGCATCTAGTGGGGAATTTACTTTATGGAATGGTCTTACATTTAATTTTGAAACTATTTTGCAGGTATTTTATATACATTATTTATAACTTAATATTAATTAAATTTCTGCATAATTTACTGTATAATTTATTATTCTATTATCTATTATTAATTTTTATAATTTCAATAAAAAACTTTCTGTAAAAAAGAAATTTCAAATATTTGCAAAAATTTAAAGTTTGAGTATATTATTTGCCTTACAAAATATATGCTAGTTTCAGATACATTAATAAACAATTGCTTTTGTCTGTGTAGGCACATGATAGTCCTGTGAGAACAATGGTATGGTCACACAATGAGAGCTGGATGGTTACAGGAGATCATGCAGGCTATGTGAAGTATTGGCAGAGCAACATGAACAACGTCAAGATGTTTCAGGCGCACAAAGAAGCGATTAGAGGACTCAGGTATACCATCCACCACACTAGTCCTTACGTCTCTTGCGCCACTGTTATCGATGATCCGTCCATCCTTGCTGTAGTTGAGATATTGGACATGACTCTCATTCTCTTCCTTTTCTGGTTTTATAATATTTTTGTTTTGAAAACATTGATTCTTGTATGGGTACACAGGTGATTTCTAGAATTTTTCATAGATTGTATTTGTCCTGGTATTAGGTGTATGGGAAATATAAATTTTCAGGATTTAGAAAATTTCTGTGATATAAAATCTAGGATGAAAATCTATTTCCTATACTATACAGCGATATCTATTATTATAAATCAATTTTCTCATTTTTCTTATTAAGATTTTCATTGCATTTAATTTTTAAGTAATTTTATGATATTAAACATGAAGCTTTCTATACTAAAAAATAATATACTATAATAATGCTACAAATATTGAATGATATTATACAAGTAACTAGTTGTTTTTATTTGATTTAAATTAAATTTTTTAATAAAGTTAAATATTTCATAGTCTTTTGAGATTATTAAATTTTTAAAATCTTCATATTCACATACATCATAATATTCAAAATTGATCAGCAAGGATAGTGTTCTGTCAAATATATTGTATGTGTATTAATATGAAACTTATCATTTGTATTCATAGAGTCTTAGGGACCTAAATGAATCTATATGGTCCACTAGATTATGATAGTAAAAATATATTATCTTTATACTGAAAGATCTGAGAAAAAATAAAATAAATTAAAAAAAAAAAAAGATTAGGTCCTTATGGCTCATAGTTTATGAATTTATATGGTTAGATTATTGGGTAAAATGTATATATTTAGAATGACGAATAAACAAACAAAAATATAAATACAGCAATACCTAGTCGAGATTCCCATGGAATTACAATAAAAATAAATATCCTGTGTCCTTCTTTACATCCAAGTTTTTAATAAAGTTAAATAAAAATATTTGCAATATCATATGTTTCTGAAAATAAAATATTTTCTCTTTGGTCTGTGTCACTTGTACCCTTTTGCAGATGAGAGAGAGAGAGAGAGTAACAGAGAGATATAATAAATTTCATGTACACTTCGGACATTTTTTTTGTGCAATAAATGTTGAACTTTTGAAAAAATATCACTCTTGGTATATCATTCGGTGGTCATGTGGCATCAAAAAGACTTCTATTTTCATGACAATGAAACAGTTTCTTGCTTGATCAGCAATAAATTTTGTTTGAGTGCCAGATATGACTGTCGAAGATGGTTTTTTGTTTATTTACAATATTTACACTTAGATCTTCCTTTTATTACTGATGTCTGTTTATTCCTCAAAATGAACTACAGTAAAAAATCATTATGCGCGTTTTTAAAACATTAAATTATTGGTACATCATTTCTTTAATTGACCTAAAAATGAACTTTTTTCATACATTCTTATACATTATTATAAACGTTTTTCATACAAATATAATTTATGCTTAACTCACAAAATATAGTAAAGAAGTAAAGAATATTAGTAATGATAATAATAGCTTGCTATGCATTTAATTTAAATAATTT